GATTAGAAATTATTAATATCACCAGAAGAGATATAAGTTTACAAAGTATTGTTTGTTTGTAATTAAGCACAAAGCTACACAGTGGGCTATCTGTGCTCTACCCACCAAGGGTATCGAAACCCGGATTCTAGCGTTGTAAGTCTGCAGACATACCGCTGTGCCACTGGGTTTTTTTTACAAAGTAATGTTACGAGAAGATGATGAGTTTTGATTAATTTAAAGACAATTCTTTCAATTAATAGCTGTAATGCATTCAAAAGATTAAGTTGATCAGTAAGAAAATTTGCGAGGTTTGACTTAGGTTTAAAGAAGATTACTTTCAAATTATGATCCTACTTTGATTCCCTGTTAGACTATTTTAAATATTGAAACTTCTTTAAATTCTATATATATATCAATGTATATTTATGTTTACACACATAAACACAATCTGTTTAGAGATAAAACAAATGGTCACCAAATTAAGTTAGTTTCATTTCCTTCAACATATAGCATAAGTGTGGTTGTTTTTAGCTGGTTAACTCTGCCCTGCCTGGTCTGGCATGGTCAGGTGATTAGGGCGCTTTACTCGCAATCTGAGGGTCGCAGGTTCGAATCCCCGTTCCATCAAATATGCTCGCCCTTTCAGCCGTGGGGGCGTTATAATGTTACGATTAATCCCACTATTCTCTGATAAAAGAGTAGCCCAAGAGTTGGCGGTGGGTGGTGATGACTAGCTGCCTTCCCTCTAGTCCTTCACTGCTAAATTAGGGACGGCTAGCGCAGATAGACGTCGTGTAGCTCTGCGCGAAATTCAAAACAACCAAACCAAATTGTGCTCTGCCCACCACGGGTCTTGAAACTCAATGTTTAGTGTCGTAAGTCTGCAGACTTACCGCTGAGCTACTGGGGGATCAAACCGCACAAGAGAGAACAAGACTGAGAGTTGCATATTTTGAGATCAGTTTTGGAGTTTACAAACGTTTCGAACACTTGGTTTATTGACAGTACATAAAAGGATTCAAATCCATTGCAAAACACTGAGAGTTTTTCAAAGCTTTTACTTCTCAATTGATCAAATAGCAGAATCATATTTCGTGAATCACAGACAGTGTCGATATTCATATGTACAAGCATGTTTAAATAGAAAAACACTTTTCAAAAATTCACATACTGAAAATAAAATTAAATACTTTAAAAGGGAAATCTATACTTTGGTGTGTGACTTTTCGTTTAAAACAAATAATCTTCCAGACACGTCTTGAAACTGACGGCAATGAATTAGTTAGTCTTTGTTTTTAATAGTATATAATAAGTTTGTCCTTGTCGCTGTTTGTTATAACAGAGAATTATTTGGTTCTACTCGTTGTCTCTAATGAAAACGAAATCATTAGTCCTAGTTGTTGCCTGCAATGACCGGAAATTGATAAATCGTAGTCGTTGTCTGCAACGATAAAATTGATAAATCGTAGTCGTTGTCTGCAACGATAAAAATTGATAAATCGTAGTTGTTGTCTGCAATGACAGTGAATTAATAAATCGTAGTCGTTGTCTGCAATGACAATGAATTGATAAGTCGTAGTCGTTATCTATAATGACAAAGAATGAGTAATTCTAGTCATTGTTTGTTACAATACTGGATCTAAATTGTGCTTATCAAAACATTTAATCAGAACATATCTTTCAAGTGACAGAAAGTATAGACAGTAAAGGGTTCCATCACCAAAGATATATTTGACGTATAATATTTATAAACGTTAGTTTGTGATCGTGAATACATTTTGTAGTAACCTCTGACGTATCGCACAACTTTTTGAGGGTGGTAACCAATAAAACCGAATCATTACACATAAAAAGTAATAATAATATTATGTCGCGTTTGTTACTATTATTAAGAACAGAAAGACAAAATGGAGGCAGTAATTATCAAGTAGATAAAGAACACTGGATATGAGATGATCATTGCTATTATAAAGTGAAAAAAAGACTAAATATACGAAAGCAAAACTGAAAGGCCGTATTTATGAATACGATATAGCACAGACAAAATGAAAATGGATCTTATTAACATTATACTCCATAGAATAACAAAACTCAGAAAGTACCTTTTTAGAAATATATAGAAGAATAAAAAAATCATATATTTGTAACTATTGAAAAAATAAAGAGAAATAAAACGGAAATGGGAAATTCGCTACTATTAAAGAACACATAAAAAAGCTGAGAAGTAATGTTTATTATCACTAATCCGAACAGAGAAATAATGTGAAAGAATAAAGTATAAAACAAATCTACCGTTTCGTCTTTAGATTACAAACCCTTAATAACAATAACACACTGATTTTGTGTCAGGTTTAGCGTCTTATATAAATGTGTCATGAATTTTCCTGTTTTCCAAAGATTAAAGAAATATTCGATATATACTTGGATTGTTCGATGACGAGGAACCCACTTTAAGACTAATAATGGCTGGAGACAAAACCTTGACGATGATGACAAAACCTTGTCGAAACGTTGTACATTTGCTGTTATGTTAAACTTATATTAAAGTTTTTCTTCATTACCCATTCAAGCCGTCTCCAGCCATTATTATACTTGGATTGTAGATTGTCATGTGCTTTTGTCATGTGCAAATGCCATCCCTACTATTTTGTTTTCGTGACTTCTTGGTTGTAAGCTTCATCCTTCCCCAGTTCATAAGATCTTCAAGCTTAGTCAAGATTGTTGTTGCTGCATCTTCGCTTGGGTTGAGTAATGTCAAGTAATCCATAAATGCACTATCCCTGGACCAACCTCCTCAGCAGCTCTGATGATGACTTCCTTTGCAAGGACAAACAGGACGGGGGATATGGTACATCCCTTTGGGATACCAACTTCAAAGTTCACTCAGCCGGTTGTATACTCTCGGGTTGAGAACCGCATCTGAAAGCCCGTGTAGTATCCCATAATTAAATCCTTCATCTTGTCAGGAATCCAGAAGAAGTTCATATCATAGTCGATCAATGCGTGCGGTATGAATCCATATGCATTGGCAAGATCAAGCCACAACACACTCAGACCTCTTCACTGCTTGTTTGCTTCCTGAATGGTATGTCATATCATGCTTGCATGCTCCAAACACCCTAGAAAGCCTGGTATCCCTGCTTTCTGAGAAGAAATGTTAATTATGCCATTCTCTAGAAGAAAGGACGACATAGATCATGTCACCCATCACTTTTAACATTCTTCTTGATGTTCCTTTTAAGGTATTCTCAAGCACCATGGTGATATCCATTCACGCCATGTCTTTCCCTCATTCGTAGCAAACCATTTCACCTTTGCCTTCCTCTCAGCTATCTCTTCGCTACACCTTTGTGCTGATTCTCCCTGAGAACTCTAGTGAAACACCTGTGCTGTGTTATCTCCTGTCTGGCCTGGAGGATGATGATTTCCTCCAGAGCAATGCACATATAGGTGACAAATCAGTAGATGATGATGATGGCTGGTTATCTTTTGCTATAGATATTGCACAGCACCCCGTTATTTGAAAATTATATATTTTACATAATTATCTTAAAAGTCACAAAAACGAATAAAGAACAACAATAAAATACATAATGTAATATTAAAATTTAAAGATAAAACGAAATTCTGTAAAAAAGAAAAACTTTCAATTAAACCAAAAGGTTTTAGGGTTCACGGGTTGTAGGTTGATTTTTTCTAGTCTTTCTCTTTTGTGAGTGTCTTTTGGAGCATTTGTAAGTTCTAGAATCGAAAAGTCAACAATTATATGACTTGTAGATGTTGAAATGTTTACCTATAAGTGTATTTTGGTTCTGTAATTTAATATGTTTTAGATGTTTACGTGTTCAATTACTAACTCAGCGATCTATTTGTCCCATTTATGAACTACCGCACATTTTACAAATACAAACCATGTAACAAACGATACGTTCAGTTTGAGAAACTTGTTTCTCGTATGCGAAAATAGCAACAATTGGGAGGTTTTTACGATTTGAATCTTGTGGTACAAAGTTTTGCGTAACTGCAAAATATCATGGAGCGCGGAACGATCTCCTATATAGGGATGGGTCCGGTTAAAAATGGCGGCCTTCATATTACGTATGATTTCGCGTACGCCTGTGCGTCGGCAAAACCCAGCCAAAGGGATAGAGACGAAAAGCTCTTCACTAACAAAGTAAAAAACCTGCCTCTAAAGTTCGGCTGGCCTTCCTTGACGCCTAGAAAACGGGCCGCAAAAACATTGATTTTCTTCTTTTCCGTCAACTGTAACCTATAAACGACAGTGGGCCTACGACCATCCTGCACACCAAAACACTTCACTATTTCATAGGATGTTAATTTTCATACCTAGAGCAGCAAGTGATCCACGATAGGTTAGTTACAGCCCAATGTACTAATTATGGTCTCTGATCAGTAAGCCATTGTGTGCGTTATATGACGGTAGATATCTACCGTATACTCCTTACCGCGCCGCGCAGTATCCTGGTCATGAATTATTTTTCTTCAAGAAGTAACGTCTATACATTACATTATGGCTCCCTATAGAATAGAACTGAATAAGTTGGCGAAATAGTGCTTTTTACCTATAGAAGTTACAGTCCCACTGGAAGCCAAGGATTCGGCTCGTAAAAAGTGCAGAAACTAGTAACAAAAAACATATATTCTAAAATTGATGAGATGTAGGGGATGGAAAAAGATCAGAAACTAGACAGCATTTGAGATGGAAGGAAAATCCGCATTACTCATTCCACTACTCATATACTACACTCACAAGGTGGATGCATTTATATACCTTAGTGTGAAAAAGCTGTTAAAGGAACAGTTACTACCGAGGGTAAATTTCTATACGATCCTGATACTGGTAAATATTTTGAAATTTCTTGAGGTTAAACATTTTAGAAACAATTCATTCAATTTTGATATATATATTTTAATTCAGAATGTATAAATAATTACCATATGTCAATTTTCTATCACTGAGCATATGTATGGATCTCATTTAGTAACACTTCCTCGGTGATTTTTATTTTCTGCTGATAAATTTCCAGTGCACAAGTTCAGCCACTAGCAACGCTGTAGAGAACAAGTGACCAATTAGAAGACAGTAAAATGCACCTAGTAAATCGTCTAATTCCAGTGCGCGTACTGTATCATCTAATGTATGGATCGTGACATTCCTACGTAGGTCTTCTTTCACATCTTCGGTCCACTTTTGTATGAGTCCACTTTCCACAATACGGACAATTCTGTGTAAATAATCAACAAAAGATTTTCATAGAGTGTTACCCATTCTAACATATATTTCAATCTATAACAAACATGAAAGAGAAATGGGACTGATTTGATTGTCTAGACTCATTTTGATCATGCAGTATTTCAAAAAACATTATTCAATTGTACGACAACACTGTGAAAACTAGATATTCGGCACTAATGGATCTTGTTTTGAAACTGTAAATTAATAATTGGCTTTACCCGAATGGGTTGGTTACGTACGCTTAGCAATAAACAAACACTAGCAACACTATAAATTCAAGAGATAATTTTTCATACCCAACAAGATGAAGATCTTAACTTAATTTTTCAGACTTTATCCCAAACTCCTTAAATGACCAATATCAATGTTGACCATACGATATTTTGGCATTAGACAGTAAAGGAGAGTTGAGCGTGGTCAGTGGATTGCGTTTGAGGCTGTGGATCCGCACTACGGGTTCTTAGGTGTGTTATAAGAATGACTGTCAAATCCTACTATTCAATTAAAATAGCCCAGGATTTGGTGACACGTGGTGTTAACTAACTGTCTTTCCTCTTGTTTATTCCTTCAAAAATATGTCTCGAGTAACTTTGCGCGGAATTAAGCAAACAAATAAATAAAACAATAAAAACAGCACTTGATTTTTATTACAAAATTCAATAATTTTAATATTAAAACAGTACAGGATACGTAAGAAACCAATGGTATTTCATAACTTACACTTTGTTAAAGGATCCCTTATAAGGACATCCTTTCTGTAGGGGAATTCCTAAAGTGGCACCCTCCAAGGAATCCTTGGCAAAGTGAAACCTGTCTTCTCCTATTTTTACTGTTAGAAATTGCATCCATTCCAAGGTGCTGATATAGGCGTAATTACTTTTCAAGGCTCTCAATAACCCTACGTTGTCGGTCTCTACAACGTTGCTGGAATCAATTCGAGCTGACTTGCCTAAAACACCATAAACGGGATCATTTGGGTCCTGCAAAACCCGATTCAAATATAATTAAACATTTGATACGTAGGATCATATTTCTAATAAACACAAATAAAGGTTCGTAATTCAACCAACTCGCATTTTAATAATTTATAACAGGAATTTATAATGATATAACGTAGAAATCTAGGCTAGAACAGGAATTTATAATGATATAACGTAGAAATCTAGGCTAGAGCAGGAATTTATAATGATATAACGTAGAAATGTAGGCTAGAACATGAATTTATAATGATATAACGTAGAAATCTAGGCTAGAGCAGGAATTTATAATGATATAACGTAGAAATCTAGGCTAGAACAGGAATTTATAATGATATAACGTAGAAATCTAGGCTAGAACAGGAATTTATAATGATATAACGTAGAAATTTAGGCTAGAACAAGAATTTCGTAAATAAAAATGACTTTACGATAAAGAGAGTCATTGTTTATAATTAAGCACAACGCTACACAATGGGTTATCGGTGCTCTGGCCACCACTGGTATCGAAACCCAGTTTCTAGCGGTGTAAGTCCGCAGACATACCGCTGTACCACTGGGAGGTAAAGAGAGGGAAGTTGATTTATATAGTGATTTTCATTTATACCATGCACGGACGTGACATCTAGCGGACTTTTTGAAGAAACCATAAATACAAAACTGTAGAAACTTTTATTACTATATTTACTTAAACACATAATTTTGTTTAAAATGTTACTAATTAATATTAGCTTCAAGTAATGGCATCAAAAATGCTCTTAATGTTAAACTTAATGTGATAGTAAATCTTTGACAGTTTGATGGGTTTTTTTCCATTACTTTGTTACTTAAATTATGATTAGTTTTAAGTATGATAATCTATGTTCCAATTATATGTAGTATTTGATTCCAATTTCTGGAAAGCAGGCATCTTCATTGTACGTTTATATAAAACGATCATCTCGACATAAAGAAAACAGTGTGTCATTATTAATAAGGAATTATAGGCGGAACCAAAATAAGTTGTAACATCAGGATAAACATAAAGGTACATTTGTTTTATACACGATTATTTCCCTTCTTTTTCACTGTTTGTTTTGAATTTCGCGCAAAGCTACACGAGGGCTATCTGCGCTAGCCGTCCCTAATTTAGCAGTGTAAGACTAGAGGGAACGCAGCTAGTCATCACCACCCACCGCCAACTCTTGGGCAACTCTTTTACCAACGAATAGTGGGATTGACCGTTACATTATAACGCCCCCACGGCTGAAAGGACGAGCATGTTTGATGTGACGGGGATTCGAACCCGCGACCCGTAGATTGCGAGTCGAGCGCCCTAACCACCTGGCCATGCCGGGCTTTTTTTTTTTTTTACTTGTTTGTTTAGTGGTAGTAAAGATAACCTCTCATTTTTTTCTGTTCTCTTTCATTCTAACGAACCTTTCACTTTTGTTTTTAGTTACTATATATCTATGACAAACATTACTCTCTCAATTTAGTTTTACTGCAGTATATGATAATACTATACATTCGATTATGATTTAGTCTGTGCTATATTATAGTAATCTACACGTCATCTCAGTTTTGCTTTTCTGTATTATATGACAGTAAGGAACATGATAACTCAGTTCTGTGCAACATTACTTTGTAATAACAATAGACACCATTTTTATCTCTCCGTGTTCTCGTGAATGAATGTTTAGAACCAAAAAAAAATATTCCTTTAGAATCTTTTGAAGAGTTAGCTACTTCAGTGTCACGTGCTATAATAACTACAAGCATCTTTTAACGAAGGTTGGAAAACCGATTTCTATATTAAATAATAGTTCGCATGGCCAGGTGGTTAGGGCGCTTGACTTGCAAGCTGAGGGTCGTGGGTTCGAATCCCCGTCCCACCAAACATGCTCGCCCTTTTAGCCGTGAGGGCGTTATAATGTGACGGTCAATCCCACTTTTCGTTGGTGAAAGAGTAGCCCAAGAGTTTTGTGATATGGAAGGAAACTCAAGAGATATAAAGAAATTATGTTGACTTTGAAAGCAACAAGATCACGTTTTCCTTTTTTAGATATGTTGGTAATGTGGTTGAAATACGATTATACAATCTTTTTGTTAAACATTTCTGAGAAAATAAATAAAGAAAGCAATGTAAGAGATATCTTAAGCCTAATAATAATATCTTACAACAAATGTAATTGATTATGATTACACTTCGCCAGCTTAAAAGAGGTGTTCACACCATAAAAATTGTTACATATTATAAGTTAAATTAATTTATTTTTGAACACATTTTGATGTATTTAATTAACATAAGAACTCTATGTTATGTGTTTATGTTTGGAACAATTTATATTTCATTCGTCTTATTTATTGGGAAATTGTATCTGCAAACCTCTGTACAGATTCTCTGGAAACAATAACCTGAGGAATGACCTTCAAAGTCACGAAACTGGTTGAATGTAAACCAAATTATGCCAGAAGAAGTCAAGAATTAATTAAGAAGATAAAAAACAGAAGAGATTAAATATTGTGATGTTTGCTAATTTTGTCGACAGCGGAAATTTTGTATGTGCTATAACAATACAGGTTTCCATTGTTATTTAATTTTCTATTACTACTTATAATTCTTACTGATTGACTAACAAATAGATGGCAGTGTAATGCACGAAGTATTAATAATTAATTAAAATGGTTCATCTTACTTACCATGAGTCTCTGCTGGAGGAATGCTCCTTTAAGGACTCCACACGAATATCGTCCTTTTAGAATTTCTGTCTTCAGGTCGTAGACGGTGTCGATCGGTTGTTCCTTTGTAAAAATAGTCATGTGTGACATCAACGTGCCACTGTATGATGCAGAAAATATTACAGCAATAAACCACCAGATGGCTAGGAAAACTCTTACACTGCAGTAATTGTATAAGGATATCCTACCACCTAAAGTAAATCAAATCAGAAAATATCAAAATAATTAGTGATCTAAAAACGAAAATAAAATCGCTGTTGGCTAATCCAATTTTTGAGTTTAACTAAAAATATTTTCAGAATTTTTGTTTATTACCAAAAAAGGCTAAAACTTGTGTATAAATTCAGCTTATAGATGTTTGTACATTTGTACCGAAAACATAGAAGCGTTTATGTTAAACAGGAAAAACACTACGATACTGGAAACTCCAAAAGATACAACATCAGTCATCTCTGTGTTTTTCGTATGTTCACATATTAACACGGTATATAATAGCATTGTCAATGTGAAAGGGATCTTACGCTCTAAATGGGCTGTATGTCTAGACTAAAGACTTCAAAAATTCTGGCATAGCCATTCTTAACTTAAAGTTACTGTCAAGACAAAAGGTAATTAGCCATTAGCACTCGCCACCTATGCAGCCACATCCAACCCAAACGCATGTTTTAACTGTCATGTTCTAACGTCTCTACAGCTGACAATGTAGAGCGTGTTCAGTGGCTTATCGTAACTCGATCTGATCAGCAGGTCGCCACACTAACTTTTGGGTCACGCCCATATCTACGCTAATACAGAAACACCAAACGAAAATAATATACGCATAACTCACAATTTAGTCACCTTAACATAAATGTTTCTAAATATTTGTTTCTAGTCCGTTTGAGTTATCTTTTATATTTTCTTATAGATGACGTTGGAAATTAAGTTTCTTAGAAATTTTATAAACAACAAAGAAAAAATTATTAATAATTTCTGTCAATGTAGCGAAGCTTTAGCTTATATTTTTTTACGTATTTACATGTAAATTATTTGAGCGCTACTTTTATAAGAAGCATAATTTTGTGTTCCAAAATGAAATTTTGTACTTCAATTCCTGATGCTATAAACAGCGAGAAAGTAAACATCTGTCTTACCTTGAGAAATCAGACACCCCGTCACATACCATAATGTATTTGCCCACTGGCTGGGTCTGTTCCGAGTTTTCATTACGATAGAAATGAAAGTAACAACAGATGTCGCCACAAACACTGAGAGACAAATACCCAGCCAGACCTGGGGATAAAACAAAACAAAAAATCAAATAACAAAAAAAATGCGCCTTTCATTGATACACTCACTTCAAATTATACATTAGTGTTTGAAGTTATCAGAGTATTTCAAATATTTGATTCTTATTCGACGTCATAGCTGAAATAAAAAAGTCAAGTTACGTTAAACTATGCACGATCAGACTCGAACAGTATCGTTAAATAATGTCAGATTTGTCAAGCCAATTAAATTGAAGCAATAAAATAATAACATGTGTAGATGTTTAATGGTTTGGTGTTATTCATTACCACCAACAAAAAGTATGTGATACGTGAGGAGTTACTACAGGATGTATGTATCTTATGTTCATTGTAAGAGAAACAACTTACATTGCATTTGCCAGTCAAGTAAGTTGAAGCCATAAAACAATATGAAATGTTGTATCTTACGTTAGATGTGAGACTTCAGGTGCCTATGTTATTACATGAACAATGGAAGCTGTCGCTTTCAATATATATCTGATTATCTTCACGAACAGAGTAAAAGTCGCTTCTTAACGCAGTTTAGAGTCTTTGTCAGTATACACAACGAAGATGATTACTTCATTGATTACTGACAGCCCCCCAGTGGCACAGCGGTATGTCTGCGGACTTACAACTGTAGAAACCGGGTTTCGATACACGTGGTGGGCAGAGTACAGATAGCCCATTGTGTAGCTTTGTGCATAATTACAAACAAACAAACATTACACACAACAAATACGATTACTCATTCTCTGTCATTACACATAACAACCATGTTTAATTTATTCATTATCATTAGAGAAAACGACGAGAACAAATTTATTTCACGTTATTAGGAGCAACAAGTAGTATTAATTCATGCTTGCCCTTGCATACAATAACTAAAATTAACATATTCTCTGATATCACGGCCCGCCATGGACAGGTGGTTAGGGCGCTCGACTCGCAATCTATGGATCGCGAGTTCGAATCCCCGTCCCACCAAACATGTTCGCCCTTTCAGCCGTGGGGGCGTTATAACGTGACGGTCAATCCCACTATTATTTGGTAAAAGAGTAGCCCAAGAGTCGGCGGTGGGTGGTGATGACTAGCTGCCTTCCATCTAGTCTTACACTGCTAAATTAGGGACGGCTAGCGCAGATAGCCCTCGTGTAGCTTTGCGCGAAATTCAAACAAACCAAACTGCGCTCTACCCACCGCTATCTTATAAGTTTACTCGAACTTTTATTTATGGTTTTTCATATTTATTTTTAGTGCAACTACAACTGAGATAACAACAGTATAAGGACTACAACCAAGCGGTTGTTTTACTGTATTTCAAAAAAATACTTTCTTGTTTTAACTCATAACATCATGTGTACATACAACTCACTTGCCAACTAAAAGGTTTGATGATGGCTAAAGCTCTATCTTTGTTTTTTGGAGCACTGGTAACGAAACGCACCGAATCGTAGACATACGGTGAGGTAAAATCAACTGCTTCTTCTCTTTCTTCTGTAATAGCTATTGAATCGATAGCGATATCTGCTTCCTATAGATAGTTAAACAAGGAATATAATACTGAATTTTGTATTAGAAAAAATTGTAGACTTTTACATAATATAAAGATCACCATCAGTCCAATTTCAATTTGGATTTTAACTGAAATTTACAATTATTGAACCTTACATCACATAGACAGAATTACCATGAGATTATGATCGTTTTTAAATATTATTTCCTACCTTTGCCTTCTCACCTAAAATGTTTTTGAATCTTAGTTGCATTGTGGCTTTATGATCAACATAAGAGTTATGCCTTAATTGCACTGATAAAGTAACTAGATTCTGTTTTAAAAATTACTTTCAAGCTACCAACGCAGTTTTATACCGACCATACCAGTCCAACATTGTTGACTTTCCTTCCTATAAACCATACTGACCATATATTTTTACTACTGCTGACTTGCATTTTTTTACCCATACCGATCATACCTTTTCTAGATTGTTGCGATATCTACATGAGAACCATGCCAACCATATCAGTCCAAGGTTGTTGACTTATACCATTATACCATTTCATATCGCTGACTTACCTTCCTGTGAACCATGGTGATTATACCATTTCATATCGCTGACTTACTTTCCTGTGAACCATACCGATTATATCATTTCATATATGTCTAACTTACCTTCTTGTGAACCATACCGGTTATATCATTTCATATATGTCTAACTTGCCTTCTTGTGAACCATACCGGTTATATCATTTCATATATGTCTAACTTACCTTCCTGTGAACCATACCAATCATTCCAGTCCAAGATTGGTTTGACAGCTTTGTTCCCCATTCATTATCTTTCGGTGATTTGATGAAATAGCTATAAAATTGTTATAATTACAAAACTAGATTATATATTATTTTAGGATATACACTGAGTGGTCACAAGTAAATAGACGCCTAATTTTTCGTCATTTAACTGATTTATGCTAACTAATTTGTGTTCACACAGCACTATATAAATGAAAATGGTCCGCACACTAATTATCTTGTGCTACAAAATGCCT